TCTCTGTACTTTTTATTTATTACATTTTTTAAAAAGGCAAGAATTTTGTGAAAATGTAAGAAGTAGAAGTAAAAATTAGGCTGAAAAATAATCACTCAAGTAAAGTGCAGATACCCAAAACTTCTACTTAAGTACAGTAACAAAGTATTTGTACTTAGTTACGTTACAACTCTGGTCACAAACTATAGGACCAGATCTAATACATTTACACGTTTTTGGAGGGCAGATAAAATGTTAATACAGGCCAGTGCTGGCCCACGRGCCTTCAGTTTGACACATGCATTAGGAGAGCATAACYGAAAATATTGTGCTGTAACCGTGTTGTTTAATCTCTTTTCATGTTAAACAGTAAACCTCTGTTTCTGTTTAACTGAAGTCCCTTTTCATCAACAATCTCATCAAATTATAGCCTTACTTAAGGGGCTGCTTTTATTTTAGTTTATACTACTTAATGTGACATGTACCCACTTTCCATTCATGCATGAATAATATTTAGCAGCTTGAGGACACAGTTATGGAAGAAAACACATGTTGCCTCATGTTTGCAGTATTTGACTGGAGGATTTGCTCAAAATATAAAAGGTTGTAAATTAATAGATTGTTTTTTTTTCATGTCTAGACCTTTTTTTAATAGAAAAAAGCATTCAGCCTCTGCTAAGGTTTAGTTTTGTTTTGAGCTAGTATGCCTTCAAGCTACAACTTTTATTTGTTGATCCTTGAAAATACACAGTTTTTACGAGTGAGTTTGAATTTCCATTATGTTCTGTWCGCCAGGCTCCAGAGGCTCCTACAGCAGCCAGCACACTCACCTGGGCTCTGAACTGCGACCCCTTCAGTCCCCCGAACACCACATCGACCCCATCTATGAAGACAGAGTCTACACTAAGCCCAACCTGAGAGGACAAGGTGAGCTCAGACATATTGACARAGGCGAGGTGTTCAGGGCACAGAGGCGATGTCTGCAAATACTCAATCTATGAAACAAAAATCCCACTAGAGGAGCAACAGACAGGGGTCTGAAAGGATGGAGGCAGAGCAGGAAGCAGACAAAAAATGGACAACGGACACAATTTCAGTACGAAAATACTGTYAGAAGGCAGCGCTGCAGATGTTTTCAGCTTCCGCATTATTCAGTTTCTAACTGTTAATAAGTCTTCTGAGTTTCACAGTGTCAMCCATCTGTTAATAATGATAATTGCAGCGATCAGTCAAGCATGCGGTGCACTCATTATGGTGCTAAAACATGTGACTCAGTTACACAAAATATCACATTTTAAAGGGGCGACTCGCCAGTGTTACTCATGAACTTGACTAACCTTATCAGGCTGAGCAGGGCTGAACTGGATAGTTTCCTGTCTCTGCAGCAGTTARCTTTTGATTTGTGAACTGGTGGTCTGCAGCCATGTGGGGAATATTTAGGGACTTTTAGAGTCAGCGTTTCACCAGAATATGTGCTTTTAAATTCCAATACATTTTACGCTTATTTTAATTCTGAAGCGGTAGAAAACATTTGATGAATATCTGAAGTGGCAGTRGTGGATGCCTCTGTATAAACAACATAAGGTCTTGGCCCACATGCCATATTTCTATTTTTAGATTTCTCATCTGGTTTTTTTTATATCATATCCAGCCTCGTGCTTTAGCTGGGAAATTGCTTATTGATCTTCATCTTGATTTAGATTTAGTAGACTAGATTCGAACTTGTGGGATTCAGATGTGTGAAGAAATTGGCTTTCCATCAAAATGTGTCTCTACCTTCACCAACTCTCCTCAGAGTTCAGTGCATCTCCTTCTTTTCATTCAGCACCTGTAGAAGCAAAGGTAAACTGTGAGGAGCACTGGAGAGACAGTACGTTTCACTTTAGTGCAGCTGGTTGAACCTCACTCTGTGCAGGTAGGGTCTGTGAAATGATAAAATAAATATTTAGTAATAAAAAAACAATATTCTCCCTGAGATTATCAGAATCATTTTAATATGAAATAATCTAACCCTGCATCTGGGCTTTTTATAAAAATAAAAAAAAAACTTACTTACCCATACTTGTGTATTTCAATTAATGCGCTTGAACTGTAATTGATACTAATAAAAAAATATGATGCAAAACTGAAACTTGTCTATAAAACAAAACTGTAACGTTTTCACCATATGATTTATTTGGGTGTGATATGCATTCCACGCAGCTAAATTTGTCTGGCCTAGATCTGGCCCACACAAGACACTAACACTGTTTACACTTGGCTCTCTTGCTGCAAAGAAAGATGGCCATTTGGTGGCCCAGATGTTGTTTGCCAGAGGTGGTCCACAACTGGGCCAGTTGGAGCGTGCATCTTATAAACAGAGCCATCGTTGCCAGACCTGGCCCMCATCCAGTTGATAAAACACTTGCAATGCCAGCAGTCAGCCAGCTTAACACCAGATCTGGCCCACACCTGTGGGATGGTTTTAWTCACAAGTCATTAAAAGAATTAGTTCTTATACATTTGTTTAAAAAGCTGTGAAAAGCTATATCTGTTATCAATAATGATGGTGTGGCTCACAAGTTGACAATTTGTTAGTCACTATACTAAACTAAGCATTTTTTTCCCTCCATTGCTCTTTTTTTGAGATATTGAGATAAATGATCACACTGGGCTGTGACTGTTGGGAACTAATTGGCAGACATATTGTGAACGAGACTCCAAAATGCCTCAAAGTATTTCTCAGTCGGCAGAGGCCTGCATTCACGCTGTTTCCGTTTTGAACAGCTACAAAAAAACTTGCAGTAAATTTTCTTAAAAAATAGTCAAACAAATTGTGGGCGTCTCAGATCTTTGTCAGTCYAGCTTCTGTAATTCCAGAGCACCAGAGCTGCATTTTTAAAATGTTCTTATTTTCTCACAACTTTAAGTTGCCAACTAGTGTCCAACACTTATAGGACATTGAGAAATTGGCTCTAGATTCACAGGAATCTTAATTAAATAAAATGGGTTGGATCTAAATTTCTGATTGTTTTACTGTGTCTATGTGTTCTGAGGATACAATGAAACCAAATTTTCCTTATAGGTTTATAAAAAGAAAAAAGTAAACTAAACAGCTTTTCAGATTCATTGGGCCTCATGCAAGAACCGTTCGTACGCACAGATTTGTTCTTAAGTTGTGCGTACGAGTGATTTAGGAGAATTTGTGGCATTCACCAA